CCTTTTAATGGAGTCTTCTACCCTTTTGAGTAGTTGGGCCACAACATTTTTTGTTGCCCCCGTTGAAGCTGCAACAAAAGTCGTAGTTGCAAACTGATTAGCCTCCTTTGCCTGAATTAGAAAGTTCTTCGTTCGGGTTGTGGCCCTCACAATTGCGTACTGCTTTGACGCTTTCACATAATCTTCAGTAATCTTTCTCAAACTTTCAGCTTTCTGGAGAAGTGTGACTTTCTTCGTCACACCAGTTACCTTCGGGACAGCCAAGAGCTTTCGCTCCGGAGCCCCTTGGGTGGCAGGGGAAAGAAGTGCATCTTTCCAGGATTTCGCTAGTTATACCTTCGGGACAACCAAGAGCATTCGCTCTGGAGCCCCTTGGGTGATGGGTGCTATCTCCACTCTTGGTGATTTCAAAACCATTGGAGTGTAGCTTTGTCTTTTGACAGTTGCTTCAGCATTTCTATTACAAAAGAATACGTCAGTAAGTTTCAACTCTATATATATATATATATATATTTTGTTCTTCAAAAGATGGGAGGAGAAATAAGTCCCATTGGGCGTGCTAGAATTTGTAGACACAAATTTTAAAACGTGAAGTGTTTTAACACATTTCAAAATTTTACGTTACAAATGTCTACTGTTTAGTTTTTTGGACTAAACAGTGTTGATTATTTGAATAGCAGGTTCTTATTTCCGATCTGTATTTCAGATCGTTAATTACACATTTTATACAAATGAAACCTCCGATTAATGAAGAACAAAATAAACAACAAAAGACAATTTAAAAAAAAGAAATATTTTATTAAGATTGTTATGGGTTTTGAACCCTCGAATACAAAATACAGTTTGGGTTTGGAACCCTTTACCTATTCATCGCCATTAGCGTAGGCTCTTGAGTTCTCTAAGCTTCTCTTCTTCTTTCTTGTAACGATTTGTTTAGCTCTCAATTTCTTTCTCTCTCTCTCTTCTTTTCCACTTATGATTTTTCTGATCCCCCGGTCTTGTGTGATGATCCTCATATTTATGGAGGGCCATCAGGTGATAGGAACGCTTTATCTTCATTTTGAATTTCAAATTGAATGATAGCGCCTATTTGAATTTTGAATAACAGCGCTATCTGATTAATCATATATCTGATTAACCGGATTGATCTTTGGGGTTTCATCCTGTGTGGTGTCCTTGCTGTAGGCTCTACAGGTGTTATCTTTCGTAGGCTCCACGTGTCATTTGAGCATCTTGAATAACGTCGTTAAGAGACGACGTTGTTTTATTTATATACCTCAACGGAGCAAATTAATCATTTTGGGAAGTGATTGCCTACAACAATCTTATTGTAG